CAGCTACTTATCTTTCTTTCCTAAGATCCCCCTCTTGCATTCCTGTATGGCAGGGCGATCCATGGCGGAGTGGAGAGCTGGTGGGGGCGGCTGCAGCGGGGGAAGCGCGGCAGTTTAGAGGGCAGCGCGCATGCACGGGGAGGGCGAGCGTGGTGGGATGACGCACGGCCGGCCCTACCCGCCCTGCTGACCACCCGCTTGCGAGGGCGAGGGTGACGCTGCAATGCAAGCGGATGGAGCGAGGCGAGGAGGCGCCTGGAGTGAGGAGGATGGCGAGGGCGGATGGCTGACTCGGTGAACGGGCGGTGAAGGCGGTTTAACGGTGGCCTGCAGTGGACGCGAGACAACAATCAGCTGCTGCAAGCGACAACAAAATCAATTGAGCTTCCTTACCCTCGCCTCTCTCGCTCTATCTCGCTCTATTTCGCTGTCTTTCTCGTTTCTCTTTGACATATCACCGACGCTCTTCACAGAGGCGACAGCCACTGCCACCTCCTTCTCTGGATGTGAGTGCATCCGTAGGTTTGCATTGGCTTGTCTGATTCTTTTGCCGACCATGGCTGCGGGTGCAACTAGGATGTGAGTGCAACTCCCACGTCACGCTCTTTGCATGTGAGTGCAACTCCCACGTCACGCTCTCTGGATGTGAGTGCAACTCCCACGTCACGCTCTCTGGATGTGAGTGCAAGGCCCGGCGAGGCGAGAGGCGTGCGGGTAGAGGCGAGGCTCGGCTGCGAGGCAAGGTGAGGCTGTGAGACGCAATCCGTGGGCGGATTGAGTGAAGCTCTCTGAGGAGGTTTCAACGCACGACGGATGGAACGAGGAGAGGAGCGAGAGAGGTGGGATGACGCACGGCCGGAAGCCACTGGCATGTGGCTGCCTCCTACCCGCCCTGCTGACCACCCGCTTGCTGGCGGCACGCGAGGAGATGCGGATGGAGCAAGGAAGAAGCGAGCGAAGCTCGTTGTTCCCTTGCGTGTTCTCCCACCTGCACCCTTGGGGTGAGGTGGAGGTGCGACAAGGAGAGGCTGATAAGCTGAAGGAGGGGGTACTTGGAGGGAGAGGCTGTCGTGTGTGGAAGGGAGTACAAAGCTGGGAGAAAGGTGTGTCTGAGTGGTGATACCTTGATTGGGGGTGGGACCTCCCTCTCATTGCTCTCCTCTCACTCTCCCTCTTGCCCAGCTGAGCCGCGGTAAGTGTGTGTTGGATGCGTTCTGAGAGTGGTGACTGCCCACCCCACTCGTTGGTTCTCATCCCACCCTTGTCCCACCGCTTGCTCAACTCACCCTAAGCATGCTTCACCTCATACATCCCAGTCAACTCTTCTTTTTGCCTTTGACGCACTCCTGATCAGCACTCGTTGCTGATACCCCTTTGAAAGGGAGTATCAGCAGCGCCTGCCATGAGAGGGGAGTATGGGTGGGTCCGGGGGAGTGCAGTGCGGTGCCATCAGCAGCGCCTGCCTTGAGAAGGGAGTATGGATGGGTCCGAGGGAGTGCAGTGCGGTGCCATCAGCAGCTCCTGCCTTGAGAAGGGGGTATGGGTGGGTCCGGGGGAGTGCAGTGCGGTGCCATCAGCAGCGCCTGCCTTGAGAAGGGAGTATGGATGGGTCCGAGGGAGTGCAGTGCGGTGCCATCAGCAGCGCCTGCCTTGAGAAGAGAGTATGGGTGGGTCCGGGGGAGTGCAGTGCGGTGCCATCAGCAGCGCCTGCCCTGAGAAGGGAGTATGGATGGGTCCGAGGGAGTGCAGTGCGGTGCCATCAGCAGCGCCTGCCTTGAGAAGGGAGTATGGATGGGTCCGAGGGAGTGCAGTGTGGTGCCATCAGCAACGCCTGCCATGAGAAGGGAGTATGGGGTTGAGGAGAACAACGTTTGTTTCTTGTTTTCTTGTTTCTTTCCTTGTCGCGTGTTTCGTTTTCATTTTGCATTCTGTTTTCCCTTGCACCCTCACCACCAACTTATTTTTGTTTCCTCAAATCCCCCCTTGTCGCATGTTTCAATTTCTGCCTTGTTTTTTGCACTATCTCATTGCTAGCATCTTCACCAGCAACTTATCTTTCTTTCCTTAGTTCTCCCTGTTGCATTACTGTTCTGCAGAGCGTGGCATCAGCAGCTTCACGGGAGGGAGGGGGGATGCGGGTTGGCGTGCGGAGGAGGAGGGAGCAGCAGCAGCACCAACAGTGCCTTCTTTCGGAAGGGAGTATGGGGCTCAGGGAGGGGACTGATTTCCGCTCTGTTTCCACATTCGTTTCGAATTCGTTGTCGCATGTTTCAGTTTCTGTTTCGTTTTTTTGCATTCTCTTAACCCGCCACTTGTCTTTCTTCCCTTAGCCCCCCCCTCTTGCATTCCTGTACTGCAGTGTGGGAGGCATGGCAGCAGCAGCTACACGGGAGGGACGAGGGAGGCCGGTTGGCGTGCGGAGGAGGAGGGAGCAGCAGCACCAGCAGCGTCTTCTTTCAGAAGGGAGTATGAGGCTCAGGGAGGGGATCGATTTCCTTTTGTTTCCGCATTCGTTTTGTTTTGTTGTTTCATGTTTCAATTCTGTTTCGTTGTTTGCATTCTCTTAACCCGCCACTTGTCTTTCTTCCCTTAGCCCCCCTCTTCTTGCTTTCCTGTTCTGCAGAGTGGGAGGCGTGGCAGCAGCAGCTACACGGGAGGGACGAGGGAGGCCGGTTGGCGTGCGGAGGAGGAGGGAGCAGCAGCACCAGCAGCGTCTTCTTTCAGAAGGGAGTATGGGGCTCAGGGAGGTTACCAATTTTCGCTCTGTTTCCGCATTCGTTTCGTTTTGTTGTCGCATGTTTCAGTTTCTGTTTTGCTTTTTGCATTCTCTTCACCAGCCACTTATCTTTCTTCCCTTAGCCCCTCCCTTTTGCATTCCTGTACTGCAGAGCGGGAGGCGTGGCAGCAGCAGCTACACGGGATGGACGAGGGAGGCGGGTTGGCGTGCGGAGGAGGGAGCAGCAGCAGCACCAGCAGCGTCTTCTTTCAGAAGGGAGTATGGGGCTCAGGGAGGGGACCAAGTTCCGCTCTGTTTCCGCATTCGTTTCCTTTCGTTGTTGCATGTTTCAATTTCTGTTTCGTTTTTTGCATTCTCTTCACCAGCCACTTATCTTTCTTCCCTTAGCCCCCCCCTCTTGCATTCCTGTACTCCAGAGAGAGAGGCACGGCAGCAGCAGCTACACGGGGAGGCGGGTTGGAGAGCGGAGGAGGAGGGAGCAGCAGCTGTCACCAGCAGCGCCTGCTTTCACAAGGGAGTATGGGGCTCAGGGAGGGGACTGATTTCTGCTCTATTTTTGCTTGCTTTTCATTTCCTTGTCGTTCTTTTCAGTTTCTGTTTCGTTTTTTGCATTCTCTTCTTCAGCCACTAATCTTTCTTCCCTTAGCCCCCCCCTCTTGCATTCCTGTACTGCAGTGTGGGAGGCATGGGCAGCAGCAGCTACACGGGGAGGCGGGTTGGAGAGCGGAGGAGGAGGGAGCAGCAGCTGTCACCAGCAGCGCCTGCTTTCACAGGGGAGTATGGGGCTCAGGGAGGGGACTGATTTCCACTCTATTTTTGCTTGCTTTTCATTTCCTTGTCGCATGTTTCAATTTCTGTTTCGCTTTTTGCATTCTCTCCATCGGCCACTTATCTTTCTTCCCTTTGTTCCCCACTCTTGCATCCCTGTACAGCAGAGCAGGAGGCGCGGCAGCAGCAGCTACAGGGGAGGGAGGAGGGAGGCGGGTTGGAGTGCGGAGGAGGGGTGAGGGGTGAGGGGTGAGTGGTGAGGTCCTTGTGTGCTGTTCTTGAGGCGCCTCAAGACAGACTGTGAACTGCCGGTGGCGGTTCTGTTCTGTTTACTGCAGTGCACTGCAGCTTGTCGTTATGTGCCCGTTTCGGTCCGTCAGTCCGTTGGTCCCTGAGTTTTGGGAGACGTCCCAAAACTCCTGTTCTCCTCACTGCAGAGCCGCTGCAGTGAGCAAACCCATCTCTCTTGTTCCTCTCAACAGCCTAGCTGCAGTGAGCAAAATTACACAGCTGGTCAAACAGCAAGACTGGGCAGCAAGGACGGGCAGCACCTGCTTTGAGGATGATTTTCATCTGCCCCGGGCAGTATGCATTGTGTTTCTTTCTCTCTCTCCCCCCCCCAATAGGGTCCCAAGCGATGGTTCCCACCTCACCGTGGTGCTTGGGTGTAACGTCAGGAGCTCTGCTCCTGGCGGCCAAGAGGAACCCCCCATGCATACCTACAGTGCATGGGTAGAATACTATCCAGGATAGCAGATTATCAATAATAAATTCTTGTTAGATTAGTGAATATTTATTAGACAGTGATGATACATATCAGCTGGTTTACAGCTCACAGTAGTGGTGGCAGTAAAGGACTCTGTAGACATTACCGTACTAGACGGTGGTAGTGGCAGTAATGATTTTTTTATTACAGCCCTGGTGAAGTAGCACTACGAGTTTATACGGTAGCATTACTGCACAGCAGCAGTATCAGTATGCCAGCAGTTGCAGCAATACATGTTTTTCAGTTCATTACAGCACTGCAGTGGTGCAATTGCAATGCAGGAAACCATGAAGTTTAGATGATGCACTCAACAATAAAACGGCATATGCAGAAGCATTTTGAAGGGAGCACCGTATGTATTGCCAACCACGGTAGTATCATTACCAGATGTCCAGGTTTTTTAACAAATCTGAATCACTTCTTACGGTACTACTGACGTTTCACAACTACACAACAATATGGTTGAGGGGTTACATTTGATTACACCGTACGAGCTCGAATGATTGCGTCAAGAACTAAACCCAGAGGATACGAAACTGGCAGGGAAGTCGCTCTGCCAGAAACATATTTGGCTTCTGCTGTATTGGCCTCACATTACACTTATGCCTCCGTGACACATGCTACCGGTACATCGCAGCACCAGTAACACAAGCGGAGCACCAGTAACACTTGTTACTTGACTCGTTCTCCTGCTAGCGCCTTTCCCCTGGTTGTACCGGCCGGGCGCCTCTAGCACTGCTTGCATGACTTGCGGCACGACTCGTGCATGTAGGCGGGGTTCTTCTCGCACTCCCCACTCGCCGCCCAACTCGGACAGCTGCACCCACCACCACCACACACGCAAGCAGGCGGAGCGAGGTGCACACAGGGCAGCGATGAGCAGATGAGCAGAGAGCGGTGCAGTTTGGCATGAGCGCTTGGTACGGATGAGGCAAATGCAATGGTCGTGCATGCATGCATTTCCATGACATTGCATCGAGACAGAGTCATGCATCAAAGCTCATAACAGGTGTGAACACCTGATGAACAAATTCAACACACATGCTTCCAACCCACTCACACACACATGCTCCTCCACCAACATGTGCACACTCCCCAGCCCACTCACAAACGCACATGCTCCCCTGTCCACTCACAACCCACACCCCCCACATGCGCTGCTGCACCCACATGTGCACACTCCCCTCCCCAGCCCACTCACTAGGCATGCCTCTTAGTCCACCCACTCACACACACACATGCTCCCCTGGCCACTCACAAGGCGTTGGCATCAATGCACCCCGACAGCACGCCCTGCCCGCCGCCCGCCAAGTCAGCCAAGCCCACGCCGCCTGACGGCCCCGTGTAGACCTTGCTGAAGTCTGCCACGTGGATCCACTTGGGCGCGGACCACTTGACGCCCTCCTCCACCGGACACGCGTAGTGCAGCGATGAGGGGTCGGGCGTGCCGTCCGGGTGCATGCTGTAGAACAAGAGGGCGTCGCCTTTGGAGGGCTTCACTGGGGTGAGGGGGAGGGAGTGGGGGGTTCGTGGACGGACAAGTGGCAGGGCGTGAGAGGCAAGTGGCAGGGCACAAAACGCATGACAGGGTGGGAGGTGGAGAGAGGGGAGTTTAGGACGAATGCATTCAGCAGCCGCTTCCGCACACACCTCTCTGCTCAACTTCTCCATTCTCCTCTATTCGTTCCTACCCCTCCCCATCTCCGGCTCCACTCCCCCTTTTGACCTGATTCCCGAGTGCCATGTCCCACCGCCCGCTCCCTCCGCCCCCCCCTCTCCTGGTCCCCAGCCAATCTCTTTCCTTTTCCACCCCAACCCCTTTTGCTGCCACTTCACCACCCCCCACCAACTGCTTCCCCCCTCCCCCCGCCTCCCCCACTCACCAGCGAGTTTCCCCTTTGCACATTCGGTCCACGAGTCGTCTTTGGGCGAGGGGTCGTCAGCGGTGGGGAAGACGGTCTCCCCCCTCGGGTGACGTTGTTGAGGTACATGAGCACCGTCGCGTACCGGTGCCCACCGCGCTTGCGGTTGCTGGGGTCGTGGAAATAGTCCACATGCGGCTCGTACTTCTGCCCCTTCTCGTACCGTAGCACCTGGCGGTGTGGGGGGTGAGGGGGAAGGGGACGGGGGTGTGAGCAATAAAGAGGGCTCTTGAGGCGCCTCACAGGAAATAGTCCACATGGGGCTCGTACTTTTGCCCCTTCTCGTACCGCAACACCTGGTGGGGGGGGTGCAGGACGACGGGGAGAAACCGTGGGAAGGGTGGATGGCCGGTCAATCGGTGCAAGAGTGATACTATGTTATGCGGCCTTCGCCTTTTGCCCTCTCCTAACGACACACCTTGCCGCATTCCTCGCACTCGCCTCCCCGGCATCAACCCCCCCCCCGGGTCGCACCTGCATGGCTTCCTGGTTGGGCAGCGGCAGGAAGGCCCACTGCGCGATGCGCGCCTCGATGCGCGCGATGATGGCGTCCTCCGCGACGGCGATGAACATGCCGCTGCTCGTGCGGATCTCGCTCAGCTCGCTGTGCCCGTCCGTGTTGTCCGCTACCGACGACCTGCGACGAGAGGGAGGGAGATGGGCGGGTGAGCGGCAAAGAGATGCGCGCCTGAGCTTGCCTCGCTCAGCTCGCTGTGCCCGTCCGTGTTGTCCGCCACCGATGACCTGCGCGCCACACGCGGTGAGTGGGAGGAGAGAGAAAGGAGTGCGGATGGCAGAGAGTAAGGGTATGTGCTCAGCTCGCTGTGCCCGTCCGTTTTGTGCGCCGCCGACGACCTGCGCGGGAAGGAGGGGAGCGAGAGGGACATGTGTGGAAGGATGGCCGGGAGATGTGTGTACGGGGATGCGCATCAGCGCGTCTCGCTCAGCTCGCTACATACGGGAGGGGGAACGCGGGAGCGAACTCGTAATCCGTGGCTTTTGCGTCGACCCACTAGATCTCTCCGAACACCGTCGAAGGAGCGTCATTTCGTTACCGCCACACGGAGCGTCGTACCGCTGGAGGCGCGGCGTGGCGATCTTGATGATGTGGTCGCACTCCTCATCAGTGAGGAAGTTGCGGTACAGGTACGCGCGCGGCTTCCACGCCGACAGCTGCACTACCCGGCTGAAGTCGATCCCCCTCGCGCGCGCGCCGTCATCCTGCGCGCACGCAGCAGCACGGAGCACGTGATAGCTGATCAGCGGGGAGCATGGAGCACGTGACTGTTGATCAGCGGGAGCGCGAGAGGTGACTAATCGGCTAACACTGCATCGTGGGACTACCGCAAGGAAACTGACGAGCACATATGCATCGGCGCGCAACAAACCTGTTCACGGGTCAAAAGATCTGCTCACCGTGGTTCGACGAATGGTGCGCTTCTGAGCGAAGGATGCACCGAGGAGATTTTTTATTTGCGGGAGCGCGTCGACCATAGCAGAGAACGCTAAAAGGTAGAGCACCGCTAGATACGGAAGGTGTACACATGATATCCGCGCCATTGTGGTTATTCCTACGAGAAGCGTTCAATTATTCCTGGAAGTCCTACGATAAAAAAAAATTGCTGTAACTCGCGTGCTGAACCAGACTTTCGACTACTTGTAACGCCACTGCTAACTACGATGATCGTGTAGACACTGCCAAAAGGAAGTTACTTCTTGTTAGCCACTATGGAAATGATTCTCGCCGTACTCAAGTACTGGAAATCTGAGAAAGCAAATCTACTAAGGAATGCGACGAGTTAGAGATGATGGATTGCGAAGGGTAATTTCGTGCTGGCTCCATCACTCAGCGCAGCTCCTAGACCATACCACACCAGCACACCGCACACCACCATAGCTGAGTGAGACTGCAGCTAAGTGAGGTGATCTGACGGGACGAGGTTCGGCATCAGGGCCTAAGTTATCAGGGCAATTACCCTGTTTTGACTGAAATTATAGGGTGTTTTTTCTAGGAGCCCTGATTTTCACAAGGTTTTTTCCGGACCAGCCCGTAAAACTGAAGGGTGATTTTTGAGTCAGCTCGGATCTCTCCGGGGAGTTCTCAAGGGGACCCGTATAATTTTAGCAGACATGTTCTCCCCGACCTGCCTTGCATTCCTCTCGGTCTCCCTCTAAACACACGTTGGGCCAATTTTAGTGAATTTCCTAACCACTCTCTCCTTGTTGGCCTCCATGTGTCTGATTGCCCCGTTCTACGTCGACATGGCTTAGAAGGCCAATAAGGAGAGAGTGTCTGATTGCCCTGTTCTCCCGATGTACTCTTCCTCATCGTATTTTTTTCTAAGTCTACAAAAAGTATCTCGCTCACCCCTCCAGAGCCACTCCATCTCCAATCTCCCCAGCCCTCGCGCAACCCACTGTGAGTTTCCCGCGAAATTCTGGTAATGCATGTTTTCAGGCCTTTTCTGGCTCGAACCCGGATTCGTCAAGGTTTTTTTCCCGCTGGCTCGGATTTTACAGGGTCTTTTTCACAGGGGCCCGGATCGTCCGAGCTAGCAAAAATCCTAGCAATAGCCCTGTTCGGCATGCCTGCGCAAGGCGGTGCCGTCAGGTCTCTTGGCATGGCACTGACCAGTCAAAGCGCGGCGTCAGGCACTGTTTCTGGTACTGTGCGGTATGCAGATAGGTTTGGTTCGGGCGAAGACTGTGAGGGGCCGGATTTGGCATGGCAAATGTGTGTTGTGGTTTGGGACTCGGCGCAGCGAGAATGAAACCGCAAGGACAACGCATGATCTGGTGCTCAAATTGACGGCTACGATCAATTTCATGTCCTCCTCAAACGTGAATAGCGTGGCCGTAACGTGTTTTGTGCCCAAAGTACCAACTTCGATGTCCAGCGCATTCAATTCGACACCGCAATGAAGCCATCGCGCATCGATGATGGCTCAGGAGCCACGAGGTTTGGGCGCTTTTCTCCCAGGGCGCGTCGCACATTTGCACCGCTGGCACCTGGGTCCCAGCGCAGCAAAGAAATATCACCTCGAGAAAGGCTTGCCCCGAGATAAGTTTCTAACAACCACCTCCGAACCAGATCTTCGAGCTCAGTTCGGTCAAAACAAATGAGGCGCCAAACCTTCAAAACAGTTTGCGCTTTCTCCTTGTCTTCCGCACCACTTCAGTCAATCGTTCTCAGTGGCATTAGTTCTTACTCCACAGGTCCACTCACGTACCTTGACACTGCAGGCGCTGCTAATTTTCCAGTCCTCTGCTTCAGAAAGCGCCACTGACATTTGGCTCCACAGGTCTTGGATTCTTCACACACGCGACATAACATTATACCTTCCCACGGACCGCGTCAGCCCTCCTTCCGTTAATATGCGACGTTTAGACATGAGAATACAGCCAGCGTGCGTCGGCTGCCTAGCCCTCCACGTCATCGTCTTATCTCTCCTACCCACGCTCCTCGTGCGTGCGGGCGACGTCCCCGGCGAGGCGGAGTCGTTACCGGGATGGAAGGGCGCCACTTACATTCTACCGCCAGGACTTCGGGTAACTTATCTCGCCGCAGTCAATAACCGACTTAATTAGTGCTTATCCTTTCCCCAGCTGTCCCACTGATAGCGACAATAATCTCCGTGGCGGGTGCGCATGCAGGGACGGGAGAGGGACGCGGCGAATGAGAGCCCTGAGCTGCCGGAAGCCGGGCTCGCGCAGGGAGATCAGCAGAGGAGGCAGCAGCGGACGGAGACTGAAACGCAACCACAGGCAACTGAGTCGTTGGGGCAAGGTGACACTAACGGGGGAGGAGACTCTAGCGGGCGCGCGATTATTCAGCTGTCGGCGGACGAGCCGCGCGCGTATCTGTTCAAGCGGTTCCTGACGGACGAAGAGTGCGACCATATTATCTCTCTCGCCGAGCCCTCGCTCGAAAGGTGAGTCTTTGGCCGACTCAAAACTCGTCTCGGTTCCTGACGGGCGAAGAGTTGCGACCATCGCATCGCTCTCGCCGAACCTTCGCTTGAAAGGTGCCCGCCGCGGTTGAGTAGCCTCTCAAATTCTCGCCCACTCCAATTGGCGTCCATGCGCGCCGTATTCCAACGACGGTACCGTGATAGCCGCACCGCAATAGCAGCACCATGCGGGCTGGGAGGTCTCAGCCTCTCCCTCTTGCCTCCACCGTGCGTTCTCATTTCCCACTCAACCCCCCCCCCTCAGATCGACGGTGATCGCGGCGGCGAGCAGCGGCAGCGAGGTGAGCGACATTCGCACGAGTTTCGGGACGTTCATCGACAAGGGCGCGGACGACGTGATTGCGCGCGTCGAGCGCCGCATCGAGGCGTGGACGCACCTGCCCGTCTCGCACCAGGAGGCGCTGCAGGTGAGCGGTGGGCGGGAGAGGGAACGACGGGAAAACATGGGCGGAAGCACCGCATGATGCCATGCACCCCCTTACCCTCACGTCCATCCCGCCATCCCTCTGGTCGCCGTTACCCTCCCCCGCCTCCCGCCATCAGGTGCTGAGGTACAACTTGGGGCAGAAATGCGTCCCGCATTGCGACTATTTCCCCTAGGCCCCACTCAACCCCTACTCCCTCATCCTTTCCCCTCCCCACTCCTTCTCCATCCTCGGCCATCAGGTGCTGAGGTATGACGTGCGGCAGAAGTACGTGCGCCATTAGACTACTTCCCCAACCCGCCCATCCATCCCACCTCGCCCGCTCATCCTTTCCCCTCCCTTCCCCTCTCCCCTCCTTCATCAGGTGCTGCGATACAACGTGGGGCAGAAGTACGTTCCTCACCACGACTACTGCGTCTTCCCCTACGCCCATTCATCCCCCACTCCCTCATCCTTTCCCTTCCCCACTCCTTCCCCACTCCCCCACCCCATCAGGTGCTGCGATACAACGTGGGGCAGAAGTATGTGCCCCACCACGACTATTTCTCCGATCCACCCGAGACGCTACAAGGAGGGCAGAGGCTGGCGACCGTGCTCATGTACCTCAGCAACGTCACCCTTGGGGGCGAAACAGTCTTCTCCAATGTCCCTGACCCCACTCCCAAAGACCACTCCTGGTCCGATTGTGCCAAGGGTTACCTCGCAGTCAAGCCCGTAAAAGGGGATGCACTTCTGTTTTTTAGTATGCACCCGGATGGGACCCCGGATGAGGCGAGTATGCATTATGCGTGCCCAGTGGTTGAGGGGGTGAAGTGGTCCGCACCCAAGTGGATCCACGTGAGGGAGTTTGATGTGCGTGGGGACGAGGGGGATCCGAATGTGTGTGCTGATACGAATGGCATGTGTGCGGAGTGGGCGGCGGCGGGGGAGTGCGAGAAGAACAGCAAGTATATGGTTGGGGGGAAGAGGTTTGTTGGGGCGTGCAGGAAGGCGTGTGGAGTCTGCACAGCAGACAGAACCAATGGGACTGCTGCTGGCAGCAAGACAGCTCAAACGGCTGAATTGTAGGATGTGATACAACCTAGTGTTCTTCTGAGTTGTAGGTGGTCGGCTGTGGGCCCTCAATCAGCCGTATATGAAAAACTTGTACAGTATTGGCTTGGTAGGTTGAATGCAAATTGATTACCCCCTGGCATACCGTATCATCATTGCCAGTAAAGAGGCTGAATGACTTCATACATTGAGGCCTTTTGCTCAATTTGCTGCTGAAGGGTCTGCTACAGGTGCTGACGCCTCTTCAGGGCGTTTTCTGACTCTATTCTATCAATACTACCACAGCCTTGGCGTGAGCACAGCCATGCCTTGATGCAAGAAGCCGCTAGTAGGTGAGGACTGACTTGCGGGCGGCCAGGAATTTGTCAAGCCTGTCCCAGAAGGTGAGCGCTGCCGTGCGGTCCTGATGCCGCTTGTACTTGCTGATCTGAGAGGTGCGGAGGGGTGGAGTGGAGAGGAGTGGACAGGAGTGGATGGAAACGAGATGGGAGGGCGGTTGGGGTGAAAGGAGATAGGAAAGGAGCAAGTGTGCGTACAGGCAGAGAGGTGTGGTGTGGGCCGTACATATAATGAGATTGCATGGAGTATGGCTTGAGAGGGAAAGGACAGATGACGTGAAGGGCATGGGTGGGGTAAGTGATGTGCAGTTTAGGTGTAGGGTGTGTGTCGAATGCTTACAGCGAGGATGCTGCAGTTCCACTGCTTCACTGTGGCTGCTGACTCCACACTGTCATCCTCAAAGCGCACAAACACCCCCATCACTGCATACAGCACACGCACATGCATTCCCACGCACATGCACACAAACAGGCATACACACATGCACACACAGACACGGATACATGCACGAACGGAGCATGAGGAGCAGCAAGAGCAAAGCGAGCACACCACAAGCACGCGACCACCACAGTCAAAGTTTCAGTGGACGAACCCAACCATGCAGGCAGCCGTGCAAAGAGCCAGTATCAGGGCAGTCTTCCACACAAGAAGGAATTAGGAAGAGAGGTTTTGCATGTGGGCTGCATAGGGGCGCACCTTTGGAGAGAATGTCAACATGGTCCTTGAAAGGCCACCCCTTGAACTGCCACTCCTTGCCCAGCACAAACACCGCTGCCACCCGGTCCCAGTCCTGCTCACATGGGGCATGGGGGAGATGGGGGCAGGCCGTGGTGCACATGAGGGCAGGAAGATGAATGACAGTCACACACTGACCAGCACTGCATGGCGCGCTGTGAGAACGCCGAGGCAAGGGGTTGACCAACAACCGAGTTTTGGAGAAAACCAGCAGTCATGCAAAAGTATGTCACACTCTAACCAGTAATAACCCTCACAAGCACAGAGCGCAGAGCACTGCGCGGAATCACGCACCTGTTTCAACAGCCCCTCGGGCGGTCCCTCACGTGGTATACCATCATCGCTTTCTCCCTTCCCATGCGAGAGGACTTTTGAGTCGACTAAAAAAAAAATAACTCACCCGTTTTGACAGCCCCTCTGGCCGGTCCCTGACGTGGTATACCACCGCCTTGTCCCTTCCCATGCGCCGCTGCACCACCACCATCTCGGGCCGCTTCCCCCCCGCCGCCCGCGCCTTCTCCTCCGCAGGCACGTACGCCCCGTCCTCTAGAAACTCCTTCACGTTGAAGATGTTGATCAGCGTCTGTGCTGCGCTGGGCACCAGGATTATCGGCACCAGGCTCGCTCCTGCCGCTGCTGCTGCGCTGCCGGTGCCACTGCCGCCAGAGCTGCTGTGCTGTCTGTGTTGGGATTGGTGCGCCGGGTTGCCTTGGGGCCGCGCGTGGCGGGAGGATGCAGGCGGGTTGGACGGCTGAGATCGGCCGTGCTGGCCCTCTGGCTTCCCCTGGGAGGCGACAACTAGAGCACCCGACCCACTGCCACCACCAGCAGCACCACCGCTGCTTCCCCCTCTGCCAGGCTGCACGTATGACGACTGCGTGGGGTTGATACCCAGCTCCTCCAGTGCATCTGTCCCCATGTAGTCCCGCCACACCTGCCTCTCGTCCTGCCGCCCCCCTCCCCCTCCCGCTCCCCCTCCCCCGCCACCAGCACCATTCGCGCCCGTTCCTCCCCCCCGCGCGTCCCTGGAGGGGCGGGCGGAGGAGGGGGCGGGCGGGTGTGCGCGTTTGGAGGCCTCCCGGTGCGCCACGTCCAGCTTCTTGCGCTCGTGCTCGCGCCGGTTCAGCATGGCCAGCACTGAAGCGAACGCGTCCTTCTTGCGAGGGCACAGCAGCACCGTGTCGCGGTCCCTCACAGGCCGCTCTCGCTTGATCAGGTCTCTGATCGCCTCCCTCTCCTCCTCCTCGCTCATCCCCCCGCCTCCCAGCCCCACCCCCCCTACAGTCACTCCTGCAGCGGCCATCCCGTGACCAGCCTCTGAGTGATAGGCCATGCCTCTTCCTGTTCCTAGGCCTGCCTGCGTTCCTTCTCCTCTCTGCCTCTTGCCGTACACGTCATATCCCCCCGCTCCCCCCCCGTCTGCGCCTGCTGCTCCCGCCTCTCCTCCAGCCCCACTGGCCCTTTTGTCCGTATCCCATCTGCTCCTCTTCCGAGCCTGATCCCCAGCCTCGGCTGCTCCCAAACCTCCCGGCCCCGTGGCACCGTCTACCGCTGCTGACGTGGAGCCATGCGCGCCTTGCCCTAAACCGCCAGGAGCTGCTGACGTGGCGGCGCCGGAAGCGGGGATGGACGCGGGGGGCGCGGCGGAAGGCGGAGCGGAGGGGGGAAGGCCGATAGGCGCGATGAGATCGATGGCGTCTGTCGTCTGCAGATGGCCCTCCAGATACTCCTGGGGGGGGAGGAAGAGGGGGAACGGGGGAGAAGAGGGGAAACGGGGAACATTTTTTAGTCGACTCAAACCCAGATGTCCTTCCAAGTACTCCTGGCACAGGGGAGAAGAGGGGGAATGGGGAAAGGGGAGGACATAGAGGGGGAGTGGAGGGAGGCGGAGGGCGGGGGTGAGGGGAAATGTGGAGCTCAGCCGGCGACAGGCGGTCAAGCGGTCCTTTTTCCAACAAATTTAAGAGGTAGTAGACAGAAAATGTGACTGAGATGCGTGGAAACCGCGAGGGAGAGAGAAGGGCAGGACGAGGCGGGCACACCAGGAGCGGCTTGCGATCCGTAAAGGTGACGATCTGCAGGGTTTGCGCGCGCGCGCGCTGCATGTACTCCGTGTGCTTCACCGCCTTGCACTGCACGAACAGCAGCAGCGACTCCAGGTTGTAACGGTCACCGCCGCGCCGCCGGTACGCCGTCTCGACGGCGCGCGGGAAGCGGTACTCATTGCCGAAACAGCAGTCGTCGCCGACGATGGTAACCCTATCCAGCTCGTTTCGCATGGTGTATTCACGCAAGACCGACAAGGGATCCATCTTCTTTTTATCTTATATAGATCAACGGAATAACCTATTCGGCCTAAGAGTTCCAAGAAGATAGGACAGAGCACAAACTGGACTAAGTACGGCGGCGACGAAACTGGCTTTCCCGTGGCCCCCGATACCAAGAATAGGAGTCAGTCATCTACAGACTTTTTTCCTACCCACGTTAGAACGGCTGGGTAGGTATTTTACCTCGACCTCGGGATTGGAATTTGAAGTGACGGTAGAGGGGGATGAAAGTGGTTAGAGAGGGTGAGGATGGGTGGGTGTATCCTTGGGAGGTGATTTCCCTGACACTGGCAAATTTGGCGAACCTCGCACGTCCTCGCACAGATCGTGCAGGGTCCGCCATCCCCCCCGCCATTTTCCAGCGAGACTTTTGCCTGACGCCAAGCTCTCAGAACTTTCTCATTCCACAGACCAGATCGGCGTGACCTCCGCACGTGGCCCGCGGGATTTAAGCGCATCATTTTTAGTTCCTCAGGATTCTTTCCGATAGCACAAAGCTCGATCGCGTGAAAGGTGACTGACCGTTAGTTTCTGCAGACGAAGCATCCGTTTTCTAAAGAGAATCCGTACGGGCTCTTTTGTGTAGCGGTATGGCTACAGAGGCGACTCGCGAGGTGAGCACTCGAAAAGCGACGTTGTGTCGATGTTAGAGTAAACTCTAGAATGTTGTATCATTGCCGGCCACGGATAGGCAGATCCATCGCTTATGTATCCCTACCTCATGCAGTTACCACCTCTCATTCGTCAACATTCCTTAAATTCAGGCGTTCGTGGAGCTGCAGGGGCGACTCGTGGAGACAGACAGCAAGCTGAAGCAGGTGAGGGTGAGGGGGTGGTGTGCAGGGCAGGTGAGGGTGAGGGGCGGGGTGTGAAGGGCAGGCGGCAGAAGCAGGCGGGGCGGAATGAGCAGCAGCGCAGGTGGGGAAACTGGGATTGGGTGTAGCAAGAAGGGAAGAGGTGGGAGATGTTGCTGCAGGTTGGAGATATGAGTAAGTATTTCTATGGGTACGATCAAGCAACTAAGCGCCTCACTCCCAATCGTGCTCTCTTTCATCGCTCGTCATATCTCTCCTCGTGCAGGTGCTGGGGCAGGAGAAGGCGTGCGAGGTGGACATATTCACGGCCCGAACGACACTGGACGAGCTGCAAGAGCTGCCCGCGGAAACAAACGTGTATCAGAGCATCGGTGAGTGCGCGCACAGAAAGGACCAGCCATGTGCGGGACCAAGAGTTTTTTGTTCGGGCGTGAAATAAAAATAGCTTCCCTTAGCTGCAAGATTTTCCATTCTTTCCAATCCTGGTTACGTCTCCCTTTTCCCTGCCCCTTTTGGTTGCTCCCTCATACATGCGTGCCCAATCGCTGCATGTTGATTCTCGCTTGCATCTGGTGGTGCATCAACCCGGGGCATGCCTCCTCCTGCCCCATCAATGATCCCAGGAAGAGCGTAAGCCAGCATAGCCAGTCACGTCTTTCTCCTGTTTACTCCAGCTCTTTCCCTCCGCCCTTGCATTCCACCCTGCTCCTCTTCTTGCTCCTCTCACTGCGAGCTCAGTCCCATGCCTCTACCCTCGCCGCAATGTTGGCATCGCTTCTGGGCACTGCATTGCATGCACGCCCTGGCCTTGCACGCGCATTTAGCATGCCATGCAGACACTTGCACATTGGATTTCGTTCTTGTCCACCCAGCAGCATCTCCGCATGCTGCCACTGCCTCACCCCACGACCAGGTTTGTGCTGCAGCCACTAGAAGAGGCGAGGGCGACGGAAGAGGGGAAGATCAAGGAAGCAGAGGCCACCATTGCGTCGCTGCAGGTCCGCATCTCCCACAGTGTTTACCCTCCCACACCCTTCACTCCCACACCCTTCACTCCCACACCCTTCACTCCCGCACCCTTCACTCCCGCACCCTTCACTCCCACACCCTTCACTCCCGCACCCTTCACTCCCGCACCCTTCACTCCCACACCCTTCACTCCCACACCCTTCACTCCCACACCCTTCACTCCCGCACCCTTCACTCCCGCACCCTTCACTCCCACACCCTTCACTCCCACACCCTTCACTCCCGCACCCTTCACTTCCACACCCTTCACTCCCACACCCTTCACTCCCACACCCTTCACTCCCACACCCTTCACTCCCACACCCTTCACTCCCGCACCCTTCACTCCCACACCCTTCACTCCCGCACCCTTCACTCCCACACCCTTCACTCCCGCACCCTTCACTCCCGCACCCTTCACTCCCACACCCTTCACTCCCACACCCTTCACTCCCACACCCTTCACTCCCGCACCCTTCACTCCCGCACCCTTCACTCCCACACCCTTCACTCCCACACCCTTCACTCCCGCACCCTTCACTTCCACACCCTTCACTCCCACACCCTTCACTCCCACACCCTTCACTCCCACACCCTTCACTCCCACACCCTTCACTCCCGCACCCTTCACTCCCACACCCTTCACTCCCGCACCCTTCACTCCCACACCCTTCACTCCCACACCCTTCACTCCCACACCCTTCACTCCCGCACCCTTCACTCCGACACCCTTCACTCCCACACCCTTCACTCCCACACCCTTCACTATCACACCCTTCACTCCCGCACCCTTCACTCCTGCACCCTTCACTCCCGCACCCTTCACTCATCCCACACCCTTCACTCCCACACCCTTCACTCCAACACCCTTCACTCCCGCACCCTGCACTCCCACACCCTTCACTCCCGCAACCTTCACTCCCACACCCTTCACTCCCACACCCTTCACTCCCACACCCTTCACTCCCGCACCCTTCACTCCCACACCCTTCACTCCCACACCCTTCACTCCCACACCCTTCACTCCCACACCCTGCACTCCCACACCCTTCACTCCCGCAACCTTCACTCCCACACCCTTCACTCCCACACCCTTCACTCCCACACCCTTCACTCCCACACCCTTCACTCCCACACCCTTCACTCCCGCACCCTTCACTTCCACACCCTTCACTCCCACACCCTTCACTCCTGCACCCTTCACTCCCACACCCTTCACTCCCGCACCCTTCACTCCCACACCCTTCACTCCCGCACCCTTCACTTCCACACCCTTCACTCCCACACCCTTCACTCCCACACCCTTCACTCCCACACCCTTCACTCCCACACCCTTCACTCCCACACCCTTCACTTCCACACCCTTCACTCCCACACCCTTCACTCCCACACCCTTCACTCCCGCACCCTTCACTCCCACACCCTTCACTCCCACACCCTTCACTCCCACACCCTTCACACCCTTCACTCCCGCACCCTTCACTTCCACACCCTTCACTTCCACACCCTTCACTCCCACACCCTTCACTCCCACACCCTTCACTCCCACACCCTTCACTCCCGCACCCTTCACTCCCACACCTTTCACTCCCACACCCTTCACTCCCACACCCTTCACTCCCGCACCCTGCACTCCCGCAACCTTCACTCCCACACCCTTCACTCCCACACCCTTCACTCCCACACCCTTCACTCCCACACCCTTCACTCCCACACCCTTCACTCCCACACCCTTCACTCCCGCACCCTTCACTTCCACACCCTTCACTCCCACACCCTTCACTCCTGCACCCTTCACTCCCACACCCTTCACTCCCGCACCCTTCACTCCCACACCCTTCACTCCCGCACCCTTCACTTCCACACCCTTCACTCCCACACCCTTCACTCCCACACCCTTCACTCCCACACCCTTCACTCCCACACCCTTCACTCCCACACCCTTCACTTCCACACCCTTCACTCCCACACCCTTCACTCCCACACCCTTCACTCCCACACCCTTCACTCCCACACCCTTCACTCCCACACCCTTCACTCCCGCACCCTTCACTCCCGCACCCTTCACTTCCACACCCTTCACTTCCACACCCTTCACTCCCACACCCTTCACTCCCACACCCTTCACTCCCACACCCTTCACTCCCGCACCCTTCACTTCCACACCCTTCACTCCCACACCCTTCACTCCCACACCCTTCACTCCTGCACCCTTCACTCCCACACCCTTCACTCCCACACCCTTCACTCCCACACCCTTCACTCCCACACCCTTCACTCCCACGCCCTTCACTCCCACACCCTTCACTCCCACACCCTTCACTCCCACACCCTTCACTCCCACACCCTTCACTCCCACACCCTTCACTCCCACACCCTTCACTCCCACACCCTTCACTCCCGCATCCTTCACACTCGTCTTTCATCTCCTCATGACGCTTCACATTCTCCACATTGCCGACTTGCCCCCGCATTGGGATGGCGTCTTGCTTTTCTTGCTTCCTCTGTGTGTGTGTGTGCATTGCAGGGGCCAAAAAAGTATCTGGAGAAGCAGATGAGGGAGGTGCATAGCAACTTTTGAGCCGTCTCAAAACTCCTTTCTTGCTTCCTCTGTGTGCGTTGCATGGCAGGGGTCAAAGAAGTATCTGGAGAAGCAGATGAGGGAGGTGCAGAGAAACTTTAAGGAGCTCATGGAGCAACTGCCAGCCTCCATCCCTGGCCTCACACAAGCCATCAATGGCTGAGCGGCATAACTGCACTTGTGTAGATACACGTGGCATTACGGAGTCGTCTTGAAGATGAGTAGGGTGCGTTGGCTTAGCAATGTGATTATCGGGGGGCACATCTCTGGTAACAACGTGCAGCGAGTCTAGCTCTTTGTTAGGCGAGTCTGTTCATGCTGCAACAAAACAGTTCAATTTCAGAGAGAGCTCAGTATCAAATCTCCAACCAAATGTTCCATAATTCCACTTAATAATCCTACTATTATATACCTACTGATCTAAATGAGAACTAGATATTGATAATCTGCTCGTATACCATTGTACTACCCATGCACAACAAAAGAACATGCATAGCTGCAGCTACTGGCATACCGCTACTGCTGCACTGTAGTAATGCTACCGTTTAAAGTCATGAATGCTACTTCAGCAGGGCTGGCTGTCTCTTAGATTCATTACTGCCACTACCACCGTCTAGTACGGAAATGTCTACAGAGTCTTTTACTGCCACCACTACTGCCGAGAACTAAATATTGATAATATGCTATACTATATAGTATACTACCCATGCACTGTAGGTATGCATGGGGGGTTCCTCTTGGCCGCCAGGAGCAGAGCTCCTGACGTTACACCCAAGCACCACGGTGAGGTGGGAACCATCGCTTAGGACCCTGTTGGGGGGGGAGAGAGAGAAAGAAACACAATGCAGACTGCCCGGGGGCAGATGAAATTCATCCTCAAAGCAGGTGCTGCCCGTCCTTGTTGCCCAGTCTTGCTGCCTGACCAGCTGTGTAGTTTTTCTCACTGCAGCTCGGCTGCTGTGAGGAACAAGAGATATGGGTTTTGAGGCGTTTCCCAAAACCCAGAGTTTGCTCACTGCAGCGGCTCTGCAGTGAGGAGAACACGAGTTTTGGGACGTCTCCCAAAACTCAGGGACCAACGGACTGACTGACCGGAACGGGCACATAACGACAAGCTGCAGTGCACTGCAGTAAACAGAACAGAACCGCCACCGGCAGTTCACAGTCTGTCTTGAGGCGCCTCAAGAACAACACACAAGGACCTCACCACTAACCCCTCACCCCCCACCCCTCCTCACCCCTCACCCCTCCTCCTCCTCTCTCCAACCCGCCTCCCCGTGTAGCTGCTGCTGCCGCGCCTCCCGCTTTGCAGTACAGGAAAGGAAGGGTGAGGGGCTAAGGGAAGAAAGATAAGTGGCTGGTGAAGAGAATGCAAAAAACGAAACAGAAATTGAAACATGCAACAACACAATGAAACGAATGCGGAAACAGAGCGGAAATAGGTCCCCTCCCTGAGCCCCATACTCCCTTCTGAAAGAAGACGCTGCTGGTGCTGCTGCTCCCTCCTCCTCCGCATGCCAAGCCGCCTCCCTCGTCCCTCCCGTGTAGCTGCTGCTGCCACGCCTCCTACTCTGCAGTACAGGAATGCAAGAGGGAGGGGCTAAGGGAAGAAAGATAAGTGGCTGGTGAAGAGAATGCAAAAAACGAAACAGAAATTGAAACATGCGACAACGAAACGAAACGAAACGAATGCGGAAACAGAGTGGAAATTGGTCCCCTCCCTGAGCCCCACACTCCCTTCTGAAAGAAGGCGCTGCTGGTGCTGCTGCTCCCTCCTCCTCCGCACGCCAACCCACCTCCCTCGTCCCTCCCGTGTAGCTGCTGCTGCCGCGCCTCCCGCTCTGCAGTACAGGAATGCAAGAGGGGGGGGCTAAGGGAAGAAAGATAAGTGGCTGGTGAAGAGAATGCAAAAAACGAAACAGAAGCTGAAACATGCAACAACGAAATGAAACGAATGCGAAAACAGAGTGGAAATTGGTCCCCTTCCTGAGCCCCATACTCCCTTGTGAAAGAAGACGCTGCTGGTGCTGCTGCTCCCTCCTCTTCCGCATGCCAACCCGCCTCCCTCGTCCCTCCCGTGTAGCTGCTGCTGCCACGCCTCCTACTCTGCAGTACAGGAATGCAAGAGGGAGGGGCTAAGGGAAGAAAGATAAGTGGCTGGTGAAGAGAATGCAAAAAACGAAACAGAAATTGAAACATGCGACAATGAAACGAAACGAAACGAATGCGGAAACAGAGTGGAAATTGGTCCCCTCCCTGAGCCCCATACTCCCTTCTGAAAGAAGGCGCTGCTGGTGCTGCTGCTCCCTCCTCCTCCGCACGCCAACCCACCTCCCTCGTCCCTCCCGTGTAGCTGCTGCTGCCGCGCCTCCCGCTCTGCAGTACAGGAATGCAAGAGGGGGGGGCTAAGGGAAGAAAGATAAGTGGCTGGTGAAGAGAATGCAAAAAACGAAACAGAAGCTGAAACATGCAACAACGAAATGAAACGAATGCGAAAACAGAGCGGAAATTGGTCCCCTTCCTGAGCCCCATACTCCCTTGTGAAAGAAGACGCTGCTGGTGCTGCTGCTCCCTCCTCGTCCGCATGCCAACCCGCCTCCCTCGTCCCTCCCGTGTAGCTGCTGCTGCCACGCCTCCTACTCTGCAGTACAGGAATGCAAGAGGGAGGGGCTAAGGGAAGAAAGATAAGTGGCTGGTGAAGAGAATGCAAAAAACGAAACAGAAATTGAAACATGCGACAACGAAACGAAACAAATGCGGAAACAGAGCAGAAATCGGTTCCCTTCCTGAGCCCCATACTCCCTTGTGAAAGAAGACGCTGCTGGTGCTGCTGCTCTGCAGCCGCCCTCACCAGCTCTCCACTCCGCCATGTTGCGCCCTGCCATACAGAATTGCAACAGGGGGAACTAAGGAAAGAAAGATAAGTTGCTGGTGAAGATGCAAGCAAAAAGAGAATGCAAAAAAGAAAGCAGAAATTGAAACATGCGACAAGGGGGGATTTGAGGAAACAAATATAAGTTGGTGGTGAGGGTGCAAATGAAAACGAAACACGCGAAAAGGAAAGAAACAAGAACAACAAGGAAAAAGTTGTTCCCTTCTCATGGCAGGCGTTGCTGATGGCACCAGACTGCACTCCCTCGGACCCATCCATACTCCCTTCTCAAGGTAGGCGCTGCTGATGGCACTACACTGCACTCTCTCAGACCAATCCATACTCCCTTCTTAAGGCAGGCGTTGCTGATACTCCCTTTTAAAGGGGTACCGCATTGCACACCCTTGGACACATACATCCTTCTCAAGGCAGGCGCTGCAGATGGCACCACACTGCACTCCCTTGGACCCATCCATACTCCCTTCTCATGGGAGGCTTTACTGATACTCCCTTTAAAAGGGGTACCGCACTGCACTCCCTCAGACCCACCCATACTCCCTTGTCGAGGCAGGCGCTGCTGATGGCACCGCACTGCACTCCCTCGGACCCACCCATACTCCCCTCTCAAGGCATGCGTTGCTGATACTCCCTTTTAAAAGGGTACCAGCAACGAGTGCTGATCAGGAGTGCGTCAAAGGCCAAAAGAGGAGTTGACTGGGAAGTATGAGGTGAAGCATGCTTAGGGTGAGTTGAGCAAGCGGTGGGACAAGGGTGGGATGAGAACCAACGAGTGGGGTGGGCAGTCACCACTCTCAGAACGCATCCAACACACACTTACCGCGGCTCAGCTGGGCAAGAGGGAGAGTGAGAGGAGAGCCAATGAGAGGGGGGTCCCACCCCCAATCAAGGTATCACCACTCAGACACACCTTTCTCCCAGCTTTGTACTCCCTTCCACACACGACAGCCTCTCCCTCCAAGTACCCCCTCCTTCAGCTTATCAGCCTCTCCTTCTCGCACCTCCACCTCACCCCAAGGGTGCAGGTGGGAGAACACGCAAGGGAACAACGAGCTTCGCTCGCTCCATCCTTGCTCCATCCGCATCGCCTCGCGTGCCGCCAGCAAGCGGGTGGTCAGCAGGGCGGGTAGGAGGCAGCCACATGCCAGTGGCTGCCGGCCGTGCGTCATCCCACCTCTCTCGCTCCTCTCCTCGTTCCATCCGTCGTGCGTTGAAACCTCCTGAGAGAGCTTCACTCAATCCGCCCGCGGATTGCGTCTCACAGCCTCACCTTGCCTCGCAGCCTCGCCTCGCCTCTACCCGCACGCCTCTCGCCTCGCCGGGCGTTTCACTCACACCCAGAGAGCGTGACGTGGGAGTTGCACTCACATCCAGAAGGCGTGACGTGGGAGTTGCACTCACATCCAGAGAGCGTGACGAAGGAGTTGCACTCACATCCAGAGAGCGTGACGTAGGAGTTGCACTCACATCCTAGTTGCACCCGCAGCCATCGTCGGCTAAAGAATCAGAGACAAACCAATGCAAACCTACGGATGCACTCACATCCAGAGAGTGTGACGTAGGACTTGCACTCACATCCAGAGAGCGTGACGTGGGAGTTGCACTCACATCCAGAGAAGGAGGTGGCAGTGGCTGTCGCCTCTGTGAAGAGCGTCGGTGATATGTCAAAGAGAAACGAGAAAGACAGCGAGATAGAGCGAGATAGAGCGAGAGAGGCAAGGGTAAGGAAGCTCAATTGGTTTTGTTGTCGCTTGCAGCAGCTGATTGTTGTCTCGCGTCCACTGCAGGCCACCGTTAAACCGCCTTCACCGCCCGTTCACCAAGTCAGCCACCCGCCCTCGTCATCCTCCTCACTCCAGGCGCCTCCTCGCCTCGCTCCATCTGCTTGCATTGCAGCGTCACCCTCGCCCTCGCCAGCAAGCGGGTGGTCAGCAGGGCGGGTAGGGCCGGCCGTGCGTCATCCCACCACGCTCGCCCTCCCCGTGCATGCGCGCTGCCCTCTAAACTGTCGCGCTTCCCCCGCTGCAGCCGCCCCCACCAGCTCTCCACTCCGCCATGGTTCGCCCTGCCATACAGGATGCAAGAGGGGGATCTAAGGAAAGAAAGATAAGTAGCTGGTGAAGATGCGAGCAAAAAGAGAATGCAAAAAACAAATCAGAAAAGGAAACATGCGACAAGGGGGGATCTGAGGAAAGATATTTGGTGGTGACGGTGCAAGGGAAAACAGAATGCAAAACGAAAATGAAACACGCGACAAGGAAAGAACAAGAATCCAAGAAACAAAAAAGTTGTTCTCTTCGGCGCCATACTCCCTTCTCAAGGCAGGCGTTGCTGATGGCACCAAACTGCACTCCCTCAGACCCATCCATACTACCATCTCAAGGCAGGTGCTGCTGATGGCACCGCGCTGCACTCCCTCGGACCCATACTCACTTCTCGAGGAAGGCGCTGCTGATGGCACCGCACTGCACTCCCTCGGACCCATCCATACTCCCTTCTCGCGGCAGGCGCTGCTGATGGCACCGCACTGCACTCCCTTAGACCCACCCATACTCCCTTCTCGCGGCAGGCGCTGCTGATGGCACCACACTGCACTCCCTCAGACCCACCCATACTCCCTTCTCGCGGCAGGCGCTGCTGATGGCACCACACTGCACTCCCTCAGACCCACCCATACTCCCCTCTCAAGGCAGGCGTTGCTGATACTCCCTTTCAAAAGGGGTATCAGCAACGAGTGCTGATCAGGAGTGCGTCAAAGGCAAAAGGAGGAGTTGACTGGAAGTATGAGGTGACGCATGCTTAGGGTGAGTTGAGCAAGCGGTGGGACAAGGGTGGGATGAGAACCAACGAGTGGGGTGGCCAGTCACCACTCTCAGAACGCATCCAACACACACTTACCGCGGCTCAGCTGGGCAAGAGGGAGAGTGAGAGGAGAGCAATGAGAGGGAGGTTCCACCCCCAATCAAAGTATCACCACTCAGTCACACCTTTCTCCCAGCTTTGTACTCCCTTCCACACAAGACAGCCTCTCCCTCCAAGTACCCCCTCCTTCAGCTTATCAGCCTCTCCTTGTCGCACCTCCACCTCACCCCAAGGGTGCAGGTGGGAGAACACGCAAGGGAACAACGAGCTTCGCTCGCTCCTTCCTTGCTCCATCCGCATCGCCTCGCGTGCCGCCAGCAAGCGGGTGGTCAGCAGGGCGGGTAGGAGGCAGCCACATGCCAGTGGCTGCCGGCCGTGCGTCATCCCACCTCTCTCGCTCCTCTCCTCGTTCCATCCGTCGTGCGTTGAAACCTCCTGAGACAGCTTCACTCAATCCGCCCACGGATTGCGTCTCACAGCCTCTCCTTGCCTCGCAGCCTCGCCTCGCCTCTACCCGCACGCCTCTCGCCTCGCCGGGCGTTGCACTCACATCCAGAGAGCGAGGTGGCAGTGGCTGTCGCCTCTGTGAAGAGCGTCGGTGATATGTCAAAGAGAAACGAGAAAGACAGCGAAATAGAGCGAGATAGACCGAGAGAGGCAAGGGCAAGGAAGCTTAATTGGTTTTGTTGTCGCTTGCAGCAGCTGATTGT